TGCAGGCCAACCACCCAAGGGATGTACATCTGCTCGATACTCAATACCGTATGCATCCAGAAATCAGTGCTTACCCCAGTGCTGCGTTCTATGACGGGAAGCTAAAGGACGGGCCGGACATGGCCCAACTTCGTGCTCGTCCATGGCATCAGAGCGAGCTTCTCAGCCCATATCGTTTCTTCGATGTGCAGGGTCTCCATCAAAATACAACGAAGGGTCACTCTCTGATCAACTTGGCGGAGTTGCGGGTGGCTATGCAACTTTACGAACGACTGATCACAGATTTCCGTGATTATGACTTCACCGGGAAGATAGGTATCATTACTCCGTACAAGGGTCAGTTGAGGGAGTTGAAGACACAATTTGCGGCAAGGTACGGAAATGCTATTTTCAACATGGTCGACTTCAATACAACGGATGCTTTTCAAGGTCGGGAGAGTGAAGTTATCATCTTCTCCTGTGTCAGAGCATCCAACAAAGGAATTGGTTTCTTGGCAGACATTCGTCGTATGAACGTCGGTCTGACACGTGCCAAATCATCCCTGTGGGTTCTTGGTAATTCGCAGTCTTTGGTGCAAGGCGAATTCTGGAATGGGTTGATCAAGGATTCGCGTCGAAGAAATGTCTATACCGACGGTGACATTCTGGACATTCTTCAACGGCCACAATTTACGGGCTACAGGAACATCGATATGATGGACGCCGAGTCTCCAAATCCTGCAGTCCCACTCAAGGCTGCTGGAGCCGAAACTGTTTCGAGGCCGTCCTCAGCTTCCCTTGAGCGGCCAACTCCAGAGTCCTCCATGTCTGCATCGGTCTCCAGGAGGGGCACTCCCACTGAACCCCCGCCTGACCGGCCGTCAGGCGGTCCCAACGGTTTGGATGATACCCGAACATGCGGTTACTGTGGCAGCTTTGCTCATATGACGCACAATTGTGACAACATCGATGCAAAGGAGGCGTCGCGTGGCACATGCTACAGATGTGGGGGCTCAGGACATACACGCATGGTTTGTACGGCAGAACGCTGTCTGCAATGTGGCGAGTTCGGACATGCTGCACATGACTGTCGATCTGCGAGGGAATTGCCAAAGAAAGAGAAAAGTCGCATTGCACGAGAGGAGTATCATCTTGCTCAGATGAGAAAACAAAGGAACGAGCGTCAGCGGCAGAAACAGCTTGGAGGACATGATCCCAAAGTACCGGTTATACAGGTCTCTTCCAATCCGCTGGGCGAGAATAAGAAGCCCGAGCAAAGTAAGCCCGACCAGAGCAACGCACCTGGCAAGCGCAAGCGTACGGACTCAGGGTCGCCCGATACTTCTAAGGTTTCTAAACCTCGGACATCGGACCCAGTTCCCATCAATGCGCCCAAAGGCCCGCGACGCAAGATCGATGCTAATGTGCCTTCAAACGCTGGTGTAAGTTCGGATCAGTATAATTTGAACAACCTATTGAGACCGCAACTAAGACATATAGCAGGGCTTGGTCAAACCGTCACGGGACGGGCCAGCGTTCGCTCCTCTGGGCAATAACAAGTCCTCGAACGGTCCATCATCGGGTCCAGGGTCAGCAAATGTATGTAACACCTGCAGGGCCATTCACATGATGGGATGAAGGACTAACCGGTATCTACAGCCCCCTCCTCGACCTCCCCAAAGACCAGGCTATGGAGTCAGACCACCACCTCCGATGCGCAAAAAGAAAGAAGTCGATCCATTCATTAGACCAAAGAGAAGGTAGCAGGCGCATCGTCTGCTGCATAAACCTCCCTACACACTACGCATTGAAGACATTCGTATTCGCATTCGATTCACAAGATTAGCATTCCTGAAGATTTATTGGACAGACATGCTTCCTTTCTTGACACCTGCTGTATGATACGTGGGATTTTCACCTTGCATGCATCCGAGCGGCTGCGCATTATGGGCATCTCTTTTTCTTTTGCATGATCATTTCAATTTCGTCCTTCAAGGTGCCTATTCACTTTTGAAACTTACATACGTTGTGGCCATACGGCGGCGATTTACGACTCGTGATTGCCTCGATTCGAGACTTTTCGATTTTTGTGATGGTGCTGGGACGCATTGAAACGGAGCATTGTTGGCATTTATCCTTTTCTCATTCTCTTCTTTGCTTCTTCTGGACTGCATGTCCACTAACAGGGACAAAGCTTGAAATATCTTCACGTTGTCTATATACCCGTGGATATAGGCGGTAGGATGGAACTTTGATGACTTGACGATGGCTATCGTTGTCCATGATGATTCATATATTGTAGCCTTCTGTACTCGATGTCGTGAAGATCTTAATGATCGGGAATTACAATGACATACATTGCAGTTATCAACATGCATGATGTGCCCTGTTACTTTACTTGAGCCTTAAGCAGTTGGGTTAGAAATAGTGATTGACTTGGTTCATACATGAGAGTAATGCGCAATGTAATGCGTAGTCTACTGTGTACATGAGCTAGGTTGTATGTATGTAGGTACGCAGGATAATTGAGAATATGGCTAAGGAAGGGAAGTGATCACGATGCAGTCAATGAGTTCATTCAAATCTATTTGCTTTCGTATCTACAGGATGCTCATGAATCGATGAATAGAGTTGCTTGAATCGGAGATTTCTTAAGACTTGTAGTTGAGGTTATGTAGCGATGGAGAAGACGGTGGGTTCTGGCTGGCTCATCTCGCAATTCCCGAACAGGTATATAGTGTTACCTATTGACTTACAGTGTCTTTGATCTGCAAGGGGCAGAATAGTAACCTTGTTAGTAGGTAATTGCTTTTCTTCAGTCGATGATGAACAGATGCAAGAGTCGATGGATTGTCGCAATATTGTGGACGGAGGATGACAGGACCCAAATTTGATTTTTTGCTTACCTTTTCCCGCGTTCATCTATCCAGGATAAATTGAGCCTCGAGCTGATATTTCGGACAATCGGACGAGAGCCCTGGCGTCTCATATTTGAGGATGTTTTCTTTCTGGTTGAGTTTTGCGGCTTGATAGTGTTGGTAACACAGTATTCATAGTATGTGTCTGTCTTTATCCTGGGGGCGATCATAAGGAAGATATTATGGTGATCAGCTGTGTATATTCTTTATTTCATTATCTGCCAAGTCAATATTCTTCAAACTTTCATTAAAGTGTGTGGATTTTGGCCAAAAGATCACACAAAATTCCCTGTGGACAAGTTGTGATCAGTCACTTCCCGCAGACTCCACCAACGCCTCCATGTCAACTTCTCTTTATCTTTTTGCCGCTCAACCCATCAGACTACTATCTAGTCTAGACTCTAGAGTACCTATCGCAACTATGATCCAGCTGTCATCTCAATCGCTGGTTGACTTTACTGGGTCTTCACTGGTTTGATCATCATTTTGGGACTCGTACGCTGTGATCTGCTGCAAGTCCTCTACATCGCCCCTTCACCGCGAATACGATCCATAGGGATGATACGTCACATTCCGACGTCATGGAACGATAGACCTGCATTTGTAGGGATACTGGGATAGATGATCCATCCCTCTTGTCACCCCTCCAAGAACCAGAAGACTCTGAATGGCAGTTATCTCTTGCGATGAATACTCCCACTCCCCTTGCATGTAACGGCTCCTAGAGGGATTCGACCGCTTCCCTCTCTCATTGCTTTTTTCTCCCCACCAAAAGGAGGCCGCTTAGACTGCAAATGAAAGGCAGATGGACATGAAAAAGGGGAAGATACTGGTTTGCTGATTTGCTAATGTGCTTGTGTCCCTTAGAGTGCAGAGACTAGCCGAAGTCCTTTTTCTTTGTCCTTGCGCGGCTGCTGATTAGCCACAGCCAACTATCCAGTGATCACTATGCCTGAATCATTATTGCCAGACAAGAAAGAAAATAGCTCGATCGGACGCGAGAAGATCCACATCTGTCATTCTCTTTGGACGAGGAAAATCTGCGAACTGCAACTATCATGACAGGGCCGTCGCTCCCGAAGCAAATAGTCTGGCCAAAGAAAAGAGAACGTCTCAATTCCCGACGACGAGCTGTCATTGGGGCGCCAACTCAAGCCCGAATTCAATTCAACTGCTCATTGTCCAGGACCCAGCACGGATGGGATCGCTCGCAAGGGAAGATCCCCTGTCAGTGCTTCTTCCTCCTTTGCGTTCTCTTTCCCTTTCTTGCTTGATTGCTTCCCAGCCTTTCTCGGTGCCCTTTCCCATTCAGTCCATCACTGCATGATGGGGCTCCGCTAGCAGACTATGTACGTAGCTATCCTTGCTAGTTGCTGCCGCCATTTTCAAGGTCTTACCCCTCTCTTGGGTCCGAACATCCTGGCTTGTTGCCATTATGGGTTACTTAGAATCAACTCTATCTCTCGAGCTATCAAGAACGAGCCATTGGGCAATGAACCGGTCCTGCATGCCGTCGGTCCGTCACACCTTGGGAAGGATTCCCCGGCGAGGTAAGGGTATGACAGCTCGAATCTCAACAGGAACTCTTAAACGCGAGATATCCTCTCGCAAATGTCCCTCTCCCTTGGATCAATTTTGCTTTTGTCCATTAATCTCGTACCGGCTACTTTGCTACAGACAATATGGCACTGAATCTTTTGCATGTACATACGTCATCCTGTTAATGCTCCCTGCCCAAATCAGACTCAAGTGCGGCTTGCATCTTTGCTTTCATGACTTCATCGGCTACTCAAATACACCAAGCAAGCATTGAAATTTGTGAGAAGAAAAATTGCGAAAGCGTCTAGGGCTAGAGCTTTAGCCTCAACACCGCTTGGACTGAATATATCCCTTGTACGACGAGTTCGCGAATCTTTTCACCGCTATTCATGTTGACCACTTTTTGCTTACCCCTGCCGATTTTAAACCCAACTGGACCATTGAGATCCGGCAAGCTTCCCTATGCATCAGGGGACCGAATCGCATGACGGCACAGTCGCGCCTAGTCCAGTCGTCCCAACTTGTCGGCCCAGCTCGTCCTTATCAAAGAACAGATCCCACAACATGTCCAGTCTTCCATCCAAAACACAATACTTGACTGCTGCTGAAGACGATCGACCGCGACAAGGTCCAGAAGCTCAGATGACGAACGAGGATATCACTGAGCTTGATCGCTTCCTTCAGTCACACGGGACAACTCCCGCTTCGCAACTTACGGGAGCGCGCGAACTACTAAAGGCCGGCCAGCGGCGTCTCCGGCAACTGGCACAGCTCCAATGGAAACCAACGGACCCCAAGATCAAAGCCGAAGAGGCGTCCCGTCATCTTCTCACCCTCCAGCAAGAGGGGTTTCTCAGTCTGCCAGCTCCAGCTGCCAAGAAATCTGGCCCCAAGAAAAGCCTTGACTCGACGATGCCGGGCTCGAGATCCGCGTCAAACTTTAGCTTCCGATCCACCTCTCAGCGAGACGTCGAAAAAATTGGTCAGCCATGGCTTGAAAATCCACTCGAAGTGTCGGATACACAACAGCTCAGAGGCCCCGAGCCGTCGCCATTAGATCTCGGCAATCTAACGTCCCTGGTTGAGGCGGCAGTGTCTTTCCCACTTCACTTTGATGACCCTCACCCACCGCCATACCAGCCGCCGGCCAACACGACCAGCGACGGGCAGATTGATGGTCAGGATTCTCGTCATGTCCACGGTGCAGCTTGCCAGCTTGAGCCCAAGGAGCAGCGAATGGAAGATCAAGATGGTCCATCCCTAGCAATCACTGAACAGGTTCTCACGAATGACAAAGGTCATATCCCTCCCATCCTAATTCCGGGAAATGGTGGAGCGTGTGATGACCCCAAAAATGGCAAAACTCAGGTAAGTGCATTGAGTGGACCTATATGCATATAGAAGCTTTCATGGCAGATGCTAACAGATGCATTGGCAGGCACTGGATTCTGCTGAGAATCAGAACAACTCTGCACAATTACCGGAACTCTCGACGTCAAAAGCAAAAGCTGTTCCTCGAGATCCGCCCATTCCGGTCACTCAGTCTTTGAAGCTCTTCCCTGACACGATGCCCCCGCGTGTTTCAAGCAAGGGAGCTTGGCGCATCCCGAACAATCGAATAGCAGGCAAAGATGCGCCAGTTTCTGCCAATACCTCCAGCAAGCAGCTGATTCATGCGCCTGCCGCCTTGAAAACAAAGACAGACAACCTCAAAAATTTAGCCAAAGTTCCATCGGAATTTCAGGGCGAGTCTGAAAGATCGTACCACTCAGGCAAGTTATCAACAACGCGGCCCAGAAAACCCAGTAGCGAGCCAGCCAGGAGTCCAATACATCCAGAATTTCCACAGTCGAACAATATACATCGTCCTGCCTCGTTACCGATGGGCACCATAGACTCATTTCCTCTGCCAGCGCCCATGAGACCTCTGCCCTCACTACCCGAATCGACCCCGGCTCTCAACACTGCCCGTCACCACAGCACCCCGATCAGCAAAGCAGCAACTCGGATCAATAGCAACCACTCGGACGCTTTTCCAACCACTACTTCTAAGAACCCCTCAGACGCCGAAGATGGTCGGTCGAATACACAATCTGCACTCCCTCGGTCGAGGTTGGTTGGGAAGAGCACACCCGCTGGCGAGCAGCGCAACTCTGTCAAGGAGACGGCGTCCAATCAGCCAGAGTCCGTTGTGAAAGTGGAACGAAATCGGGCGGAGAGTGTGCGTGCACTCAAGTTGAGAGACGTGATGGCAAGTCGTATCTACCTCGAAGGGCCAGAAACTCCTCGTGGGACGAGAAAGGGCAATGAAATCAATTCACCAGTATCTCCAAAGAGCTCTGGGCCCGGTCATGAAATGAGAAATCGCAACGAGAACAGGCCTCGAAAAAATGCATCAATCCGAAAGGAAGCAACTTCATCTGCTCCTTTGTCGCCTCCTCTTTCCCCACTTCCCCCTCCACCGTTCAGCAGGCGGTATGGCAGCTCGCCCACAGATATCATGAGAGCATCGACGGAGAGGAGAGAGCCATCGTCTCTCCCCGCCTCCAACCGAAGCTCCACGTTGTACCGAAGTAACAGCACGCGGAGCACCGGTGTCCTTCACGAATTGGCTTCTAGTGAACAGAACATTTCAGACCGGGCCGGGTCTCCTCTCCCTTCATCGGATGATGAGTGCATGGATAGAGGTGCATTCAAGTATGAGCTACGCCAAGGAACCAGCAGACGTCGACGAACGAAGGTAGTCACAAGAAACTCGAGCGACCTGTGTCTGAACAGACAACGTAACCCGAAGAAGTCTGGAATCCCGGATTATGTCGGACCCTTGACGCCGCGAAGGCAAAAAAGCCGGGTTCTGGAGGAAACGTCCCCACCGACGCTGGACTCATCGAATTCGTACCATTCTCGCGACCCTCGCGATAGGCGTGACAAATCTGCACACGCTCTCAATTCTCTTGAAGGGCGCATTGAACAGCTCGAGCGCCAGAACCGGATCCTTCAGGCAGCCCTTTTTGCGGCTTTGGACGTGGGTGTCAAACACAATATGGAAGCCCTGCTTGGGGGGTCAACGACATCGCTGTCCGCCTCTGCAAGTTCTTCAGGTGCGGAAAAGTCTTCTTCGTCCTCGACTGATCGATCTTCCAGGCTGTCTGGTCGCGCAGTAGTAAATGGAAGACACTCGGGCATGAAGAAACCCCTTCGCCGCCCGGAAAGCTGGATTGACAGTCCCGGCTCCAGTCTGCGAAGCGATTATCAGACAGATGACAGTGGCAGTGTCAGAGAGCTTGAGGACATGATCGAAGACCTTGAATTCACTTGGTCATCGGACAAGCCAGGTTCCAATAGGGTGGCGAATTGTCGCATTTAAGCATTTGATATAGTTTCTGTTTCTCGTCTGCCTAGGGAGGTTTCCTTTTAGTTTGCACAGTCTCTTGCATGGCTTCCTTTTGTTACGTGGTGGTTCAACCTTGGTTGCGTTTCCTCAACTGACATGATATGCTCAGTTGCACGGTCCAATCCGAAAATTGCGTTCTTTCCAGCCTCCCCTAGGCTGCCTTCTGAATTTTCACTTGCCTTGGCGCTTTATTTCTCCTTGCTTGTTGTTATTTGACACCGCAGTGATACCATTTTGTTTTGTCTTGAGACGTCAATAAGTCACTGTGCTTTCAATGCCCATTAGGCCGTTCTCAAACTGAACATGGCTTGAATATTTTCGTAAGCAGTTCGCAAGCATGATATTAATTAAGTATCGTAACCATAATCGAGCACTAGCCACCTTGAGGCAAGAGAATGAAGATTGTCTCTGCCCACCAATCCTGCTTAGTCATCCGAGTCCTTTTTGATGTTGATGTTGTTGGCAGTCGAGCAGCTTCAAGTCTCAACAACAAACACAAATTGGCAGTTCTCAAGCAGTTGACGACCTCTGGACCGGCAGATTGTCATCGAGATCAGGTGCAAGGAAGAAACCGCACGGATCCATCGCAATCACAATCACTCTTCTTTTTCCCCCTCATCCCAAACAAGCCCAATTACAATTGTTCGAAAATGGCATACGCAACAGCAGTAGGATACTCTCCCTGTCCCTGATCGAAGCCACACAGTAAACGTTCCAAGACTGACTTACAAACATCTAGAACACACAAATCCCACAACATGTTACGGCTCTACTTTCACATCTTACATCACGCCCTGGCGTACAATCCACCTTCATCCTTTCCCGCAAAGACGGATCCATAATCCAAAGCACCGGGCTCTTCGCCTCAGCACCGACGAGAAATAGCACGACAAGCGCGACACAGACCCCGCCCGCAACGGACGGCGCAAACAGCACTTCTACCCCTCCTGCAGAATCATTGGATCCTTCTTCACCCCCCGGCACAAACACAGTACCAGCCCCTACCGCCCAGAAACCATACCAGCCGTCTCAGGCGGAATCTCTAGCGGCGCGGATCTTTGCTTTCGTGTCGAGTGCGTCTGAACTGGGGATGTCGATGTCGCGTCCGCCCGCGGAGAATAGGGATAGCTATCAGACTGGGTTGAATGGGTCGTCTGAGCTAGGAGATGGTGCGGCGAGAGACGATGCGAGGACGGAGGGTGTGGACAGGGAGGAGGACGATGAGGTTAAGCTGCTCCGGTTGAGGACTAAGAAGCATGAGATCGTGGTCGTGCCGGATAGGAAGTATCTCCTATGTGTGGTGCATGATGCTGCGCATGCGCCGGGGGGTTCGGGGGCTGCGGGGGTGCGCTCTAGGTGATGTTTTGCTAGCTGGGGATTTGGCGTTGATGGCTTTGCTCTTTTGCCTTTTCTTGCAGGGTCTATTATAATTTCATTGCCGGTGTTTCTTTCTGTCTGTTGGTTCGCTGCGAGTGGTTCCTGGGCTCTTGTGTTGTTGCATAACTATACCCCCGTTGGAAGCAATGCATTTTACTTGCATATTTGGATCTTTTTTGGAGGTCAGGCTTTGCGACTGAGTGAACTAGGTGCTACAGAGTATCGCGCTATGCAATGATTGTGCCCTTGGTGATTTGGTGCCATCGGTTACCGATGGTGCAGCGGGGTGTTACCCCTCTCGCAGACAAGCTATCTTGATGGGGTTTCATCAGCTTATCAATGGTCACTGCGTCGTGATTCTGTCTGTATCCAGTTTCATCTATCCATCGCCATTTCGATCGGCAGAGATGGCTGCCGAATTTGACATTGCACAGGCTAGGACTCGTTTTCCCGCTTTGAAGCTAAAGCGGGTGTTCCTGGATAATGCAGGTTTGTTTTGATCCGGTCCTTGTCTTGTGAGCATTGCATTGCATCGCGAGCGAGTAGCTGACCTAAATCCCGTTGACAGGAGGCAGTCAGGTTTTGGACACTGTGATCGAATCGTGAGTCATCTGGGTAATTCGCTTGAATCCAGGTCTGATGCCCATGGCAGGATTACATCTTACCTCTCTACCACCAATGTTCAATTGGGAGCGACCTATGGCATATCTCGGGCAGCCACCGCTGCATTTGCTAAGGGCTACGAGGCGGCGGCAGAGTTTATCAATGCGAGTCCTGATGAGGTGTGTTCTTTGACCCTGGTAGCACCGGTATGCTCTGACCCCTTTACCTCAGATCTGCCTGGGTATATCAACAACTCAGCTATTGCACAACCTTTCGACCGCGCTGAGGTTCCAACCCGGTGATGAGTTGGTTCTCTCGAAGCTGAACCACGAAGCCAATTCAGCCCCCTGGGTTCGGGTCGCCGAACGGCTGGGTTTGCAGGTGAAGTGGTGGTCTGCATCGGATTCTAGAAACCCTGTTTGTGATTTGGATGAGCTGGGTCAATTGCTCTCGGAGAAGACGAGGCTCGTTGCATGCCCACATGCTTCGAACATCACGGGAACAATCACGAACGTCAGAGAGATTGCGAAGCTCGTTCATCAGTATCCACGGGTGAGTTTTGAAGGTGTTTTTTTTTTTTTTTTCCCTTGCTATGTGCTGATATGCTCCTTTCGTTAGGCTCTTCTCTGCGTGGATGGGGTTGCGCTTGCGCCGCATCGGCAGGTAGATGTGAAGGATCTGGATGTCGATATCTATGTAAGTTGGTGAAGATGGCTTCAGCGGGAGAGGTGCTCAGATCTTTCCACCAGGCGTTCTCATGGTACAAAGTCTACGGGCCGCACATTGCTCAATTATACGCCTCATCTCGAGTTCATGATCAGATCGACACCCTTGGCCATTTCTTCAAAGGCACAGACACGCTGGACCTGAAGCTGAATCTAGCATCCGCCAGCTACGAAGCGACACAGTGTATTCCTGCGGTTCTTGAATATCTTGGACCCAATCCCACAGCTACATGGGACAAGATCGCCTCCTATGAAGAGAAACTGCAGGCGATACTGCTGGACTATCTCAGGAGCGAGGATCAGATTACAATCTGTGGTGAGCCGTCAGCAAGCAAGGAGCTTCGCGTCCCCGTAGTCAGTTTCACAGTGCAAGGCATCAAGAGCCGAAAGGTTATCGAAGAAGTCGAGCGGCGGACGTGGTTTTGTTTTCGCCATGGCCATATGTACAGTCACCGGCTGTTGAACGATATCGTGGGTTTGGAGGATGTCGAAGATGGTGTAGTACGGATCAGCATGCTGCATTACAATACTGGTGAGTTTGCACTTGGAAATCTGTGGGAGCTTGCTGACCAGAATATAAGAGGAAGAAATCACCCTCCTGGTTGAGAGCTTGAAAGAAGTGATTAGCTCTCTGGTAAGCTCTAGAGCATGATAGGATAATAATTTTTCATGCAGCTTGTGAATGTTTATGATTAGCTCGCATGCTGGCATAGGATGAACATCGCTTTCTGCATATAGTAGATGCTATAGAAATGTGGCTCCTGTGTGTCCTCTATCTACGCGTAGGTGGACGACCATCAATCTCGATAGATCTCGACTCCTTTGCTTCAACTGGTTACAACAAAGCTATATTTTGTGGCCTGTAGCCTTTTGGGTCCAAATAGAGGTGTCAAGCTGCGTGTTGGTCCAATGAACTTTGTTGTCCAAAGTACCGACCTTTTCATTCTAGGTTCTCATCCGGAGTAGCAATCAACAAGTACATCCACATGCATGCATCTCTATGCATGAGTCCTGATCAGTCCTGTACTTCCTGCACCTCCTTCCACTGAACCAAATCTAGACCACCTGATAGTGCGAAATTGAGTTGAGGTTTTCTGGCAGCTACTCGGTAGATACATGCTGTTGATGTTCTCGCTTCTGGACTTTGTTATTGTTATGATACAGAGATAGCTGGCCTTTTGGACTTGTTGCGAGGATATATTTTACTCATACCAAGGACTCTAGAATGGAGACTTTGTGAATGCTGAGGGGTTTATTAAGCTTCCTCCCTTCTGAAGTTTACCTAGCTGTTCATGATATATCTACGTAGTAACTGGTATAGTAGTCTGCACTTGATTACCCCCATACCCCAGAGTCATACAGTCATACTCATTGTTCACGTCCAGCCAGTGACGTGAATCTCCCGATCCCTCACCATCTACAGACCAACTCGGAAACCCAGTCTAACCGCTCATGGCAGGTATGACCGTTTCCATCGACCAATCGAGGCAAAGCGAATTCGACGGCGGAAAATACTCAGTGGGGGATTGGATGCTGCCTCAGGCTTCCAGCCCCCTCTCCGATGGTTCTTTTTTCGGAGTGGCGCTAGGCCATACTGGGAATGGGGTGTGGGAGATGGTGGCGATGACGGTATGAGTCATGACGCGGAGGACTGAGGCACAGCGTTCGACCTCTATTTTGGAATTTGCTGGGCTGAGGAATTCAGAAGATGATGCTATTATTGAATCTATTATGGGGTAGTGGTCTGTCATTATTATGTTCGGCCTTGCGAACAGCATGACATATCTGATAACTATTGATCTGGATCGGACGGAGGAATGGCTACAGACTAGCTACTCCGTACAGTATGTACTCTGTTCTGGATCTGCATGATCGGGTGGTGACAGCGTTAGTCAGATTTTTGTCATGGATGTTATGTGTCGCGTCAGTTGCTGTGGTACAACAGCCTCTTACACTACTCATGTACCCCCGTGACTTATCCATCCTTTGTTGCTCACTTTGCAATCTAGTCGAGTAATCGAGGATAGAATGAACAGTAGGCAGAGATGAGCTGCCTAGTTTTGAAACAGACAATATTGTGGTTCTCATCTCAGGTGATCCTTAAGCCCACAAAGTGATAATTTCTGTTACTCATGGTTGAGGTGGAGAGGAGGGTCTTGTGGAGGGCTCTTGTGCTGGTGGTTTTCTGCTGCCTAGAGTATCTATCCATGATGGTTCCACAAGTACAGTTGTCATGTTATCTCCATTCTCCATACTAATATGTTGTCTATCAAATGCAACAAGCAGTGCAATACTTCATTTGTACGAGTAGGGGGCGTAGTGGTGCTCATGATCATCATGGTTCAAGACGAGGCAAACGTGCCTTTGCCTCGTCATCTTCTCGAGAGAGATAGTCCATACTCCATAAAGACAAAGCACACCAGCTCACAAACTATGGACCTATGCAGTATGTGTCACTCTGCCTCTGGGAGCTGCACCAGATCCTGACCGAAGGGTGGCGTGGGCTGGGAGCAAATACAGCCCGGGTGGTTGGTTGGCTGACCACCAACAACTTTTGGACCCGTTCGTTGTCAAGGAGCGGCAGAGTCAAACCGGAGAGGAAATCTTATTGCTCTCCCTCTCAGTACTCGTCAGCCGTCGAGGGAGCCAGTCATGCAGTTTGTGGCACAACTGGGTTGAGTTAGCAGCGAGGTTTATTCTATGGTGGCCTATAGTAATGATTCATTTCACCTTCATGTTGCATGGTTGGCAGACGTCTTAGAAACGTGGAGGAACTTACTCGAATCCTGTCATTTACCTAGCCGATATCGCGAACTCGCCATCTACTGACGACACACTTGCTAGCAACGTACTCCATAGACTACTGCTAGTTGCAATCATAAGTTTATAATGCTCATTATAATGATCATAAGGATGACATTATAGTTCCATGGTACAGAGTAGACATACTCGTACCGAGTGCTAGGTCAAGGTATCACTGCTAAGTCTTTGATAGATTGTGATAATATGATTCTAAGCAATCGAGGCTGTTGAGAATGAACAAGAACTATGGATTTATATGGTTCTACACAAGCTGAATGCTATCTTATAGAAAGCGCCGAGTGAACATGATGGTGTTGCGTGGTAGCTAGTAATATCTTAGGTAGAATCCTAGTATTCACCTATTGAAGAGTATAGACATCAAATTATCAACCTTATCAAGATACATCAAAAGATACAAGAGAACAATAGTAGAATATTTGACAGTAGAGTCGTCGAGTATCTCCTCCTCTTCTCCGTAGTGGACCAAATTCCACAGAGCATCCCCTATCTCGGAAGGAGTCATACATACATCCGCATCCGTCCAGCCCAGTCCCGATCGCGCCCTGATTACCTTAACTACTGACTACCTACTCTCTCGGAAGACAGAGTGTGAAGACGTCCCCTTTTGGTGTCATCGTCATTTCCTCCCTTCTGTTATTGTTCTGTTTCTTTTGATATATTCTTCTGTTACTCATCTCTTTATTATTGCCTGTATCAATACTACTCTCCGCTCATTCCTTTTTTCGCCTTCGTTGGCAAAAAAAAGCGTGGTCCCTGCATCCGCTCTTTGACTCCCTCCACCCCCCGAATTTCCGCCACTTGAGTGTCTTGCCACAGGTACAGACGGAGGTGAGTAACCAAAATCTTCTGATTCCTTTTTGCCATTCAACATTTTCCATCTTCCTCCAATATTTCCTTTCCTTGTTCCACGGGCTCTTCCAAAACGTGCACTTGGAAGTCACCGTATTTCCCTCTCTTCACCTGATCCTTCTTTTCCCTTGGACTGGACCGCCCCCCAGGTTAGTTAGCCACTGCTCTGCCTACCTTAGTATTTGCTCCGCCCTCCACAAGAATAGGTAGTCATCAGGCAGCGTTTCCTCGGTTCCCGCCTGCTGGGGTTTTCACTTCTTGGAAGGGAGGAGTCATACTTCGGATAGCACCGTTCTAAATTCAAAAATAAAGGGTCTCTCTCCTGACTTAGCATCCGTTGCTGACTGTTCTCTTGTCGCCTCAGCCTAGTCGAGCCTCACGACTCATCCCGCCGAACCCTCCGTCCTTTTTAGCCACCCGATAAACAGCTGACTGCCTGGACAAGCATCAGTCCTCCACTGGAACTGCCTGCTTGTTGGTCAGTCCGCCGTTCTATCGGCACCTTTATATAACTTCATTCATATCCTTTTGATGATCAAGATGTACCCTGTTTACTCGATCTCTTCCGCTCCGATCGCCAGCTTTGCAGAATCCTCAGCCCCAGATCTTCAAGCCTCCGACAAGACTGTCATGGTTGTTTAAACAACAGACCTATACAGTATCTATCACTCTTGAAATAAGCTTATGTCGGTATACCGCGACCTACGCATACTTCTCAAACGTGATCTCGGCTTTTGATCTACTACGGACTCTACGAACGGTGATCGGACTCGTGGACGTTGAACACCCTCCATTCATCCTACCATAGTTACACCTTGACCTCTTCCGACTCCTAATATCTTCGACGTCCATACCTACTTTGACCCCCTAAGCTCCTCTCCCCTCGCCGCCACTTTTTTGACAAGCTGGCGATCTCTCATAACTAAGGCACGCCGTCGCCTGTGAACAAAAAGACGGTATCTGTCTTCCTGGTACCTCGTTAACGGTTATTTGCGCAACGGTTTTTTGACAATATCACGGTTCAAAATCGCCCATCACCTATCTTTAATATTCGGTTCCGAGGATTGTATAACCAACCGAACTACTTCTGATATCGGAAAGTGGTGGTAGGTTGTACGGTTTTGACTACCCCGAATATGACAGGGATGGACGTCTTGGGTTTGAGGGACTCAAACCCGAGCATTCAATACAAAGCGCCCTATGCTCATCCTTATGCTTCGTCGATCTCCTCCTCGGCGTCTTCCTCCTCCTCTTCCGTCTTTTCCCTGGATTGTGTATCCAGCCAGAGCTCCATCTCGTCAACTTCTACGAACCCGGTTGATGTGATCTGGGAAAATGAAGGCGAATACCAGGTGGCTGGAAGAACCTTGACTTCTGCGACTAGCTCGCGTGGCGGTGTGAGGGTTGTTTTGCCCAAAGCTACCGATGCGGCGGTCGCGCCTGAGTTGCGGAGACACCCTCGGCGCACCAACAGCTGCATGGCTCAGTCCAGTGGCGTCAGTTGTGCCCGTCCTCCGCCGTGCCTCCTGCGACAGTCTGATCGGAAGGTCAACTTTGTTGACAATCTTGTCGGTGAGTGAATGTTTCCTTTACTTGATTTCCATCTTTCTAAAGCTAAATGCTCTTGCCCACGAAGACACCGCATCGCAGATCGTGGAGATAATCTGGCCCTTGTCAGCAGTGGCATCTCGCAGCGACTCTGCCACAGGTTGCAAAGGTGTTTTGCCCCTTCGTACTTTCATTCAGGAAACTCTCCGTCGGTCGCGCACCAGCTACAGCACTCTGCAGGTTGCCCTGTATTATCTGATCAAGATCAAGGAGCACGTGCCTCGCTGTGATTCGGAACAGGAACAACAACCGCGGAACAAGCCGGTCTGCCGTGCCATGCAATGTGGCCGTCGCATGTTCCTTGCAGCTTTGATCCTTGCATCAAAGTACCTTCAGGACCGCAACTACTCCGCCCGTGCTTGGAGCAAGATCTCCGGTTTGAATACAGCGGAAATCAACCAGAATGAGTTGATGTTTCTTGAAGCGGTTGGTTGGAGACTTCACGTTCCTGAAGCCACCTTCCAGCGTTGGACGGACATTGTCCTGAAGTTTACCCCTGGAGCTGGTGGGCCTTTTGCCGGGGAAGGGCAGTGCTGGCGAACGGTCATCCCCAAGCTCACCCCTGAATTGGACACAGTGGATGTTGAGCCTTCCACTTCCTCTAGCATGGGAGGATTCGAATCGGGCCTCGTGTCTGACTCACCTTCTCCTCGTTCTCCACCGACGGGTGAGCATCCCAGCCCGCCATCCGTTTACAGTCAGGGGCTGGCGTATCAGCGGTACTCGCCACTGTCTACTGGAGCTTCGTCTCTTCCCTCCATGCCACGACCACCTATGCTGCCAACGCCTCAGTTGACGCCTCAGACGACCATTGCTACCACTCCTGCTGCGAGTGCTAGCGCCTTCTGCGCCCGCCGGGCTTCCATCTGCGCTGCTATGTCTCAAGTGCAAAACATGTGCATGGCGCGGTCGACTCTCGACCAGCGCCCGTCGCTGGCGTTTTGCCCAAAGGCTAACACGTTTGATGGATACCCGACCGTGGTTCGCAGGTCGTCTCTGGCCCGCTCGACTTCTTCGGCGTCATCTCCTGATTCGATGATTTCCGATGTGTCGACGCTGTCATCGTCGAGTCTGTCATCTTGCTCTTCCGGGTCTGCTCCTGTCTCCTCCATCCTGGGCACTTGCGCCTCTGCCAAGCCTCGCTTGGCTGTCAAGGCCACGCTTCGATGCACCAGCAACTCACTCAAGGAATGTCGGAAGGCTTTGGCCATCGCGTCTCCTATCGATGAGGGCTCGCTTGGTGACGTCTACAGCTCCCCTGAGACCTACTTGGGCGCAGTTGGCCAGGTCCCGGATCTGTCCAATTTCTCTCTGGGCACTCCCGTTGACCATGAGGCAGCTCAAAGCCTTTGTGAATTGTCGGGGGCTATTTCCCGCCCTGCCCAGACGTTCGAGCAAGGAACAACGGCTCAGCGACAATGCCGGAAACGTGGCCGCACAGGCTCCGAGGATCTTCTGTGGCAGAACCATGTCCGCCACCTGATGAACCTCAATGCGCGGAACGAGGGCAAGGCTTCGGATGGTTCCATGGGCGATATGCTTTCTGATTCGAAACATCCTCAGTCTCTCTCCGCTGCTCAACTCAGTCTCCTGACTGTTAGCGCTCCTTTGTCTGGACCAGCTGGCATGAAGCGTGCTTGCTGTGGCAGCGAAGCGAGGAAGATTGCGCTCAACCCGAGCGTGCGATCGGAGTACATGGGCTAGCTTTGTTGATGATCCATCAGCTGCCAGGCTCTTTCCTCTCTTGTCCTTTTTTCTTTCTTTTCTGTGTAGAAAGGAAAAGTGGCTTTTTAGCTTATTGCTTAGTCCATCATATCTCTCTTTTCTTTCATTTATGATCTCGTCGATCGAGTGACGTTCTTTCCAGGCTTTCCCGACGGCGCAGAGGTGAACAACGCAGGCAACTGGTGGGAAAAGTTCTTTCATGCGGCGAACTTTATCTCGAGTTTTTCTTTCTGCATTTGGAGAAAATGATCTCTTGGTTGTCATGTGTATATACCCTGCTGTTGTTGGGAGTTTCAGACGGCTGTCTGCGTTGAACTCTGCGTCTTCGGCCTGTTCGCTACGGTGGTTCTGTTACCAACAGATTTACTGATGTACGATGTATGCCAGGGTGGGCTCTTGTCCCTGTGAGCTACCGCTTAGTCCATCTTTTTATCATCTATCTCTACATTTCTCTGCATCTATTGTCGGTCTTATTATGCGAATGGAGTGTGGCGGGAAAGGAAGGCATTTTCATGGTTTATCTATATCTTTTGTCCTCGTTTTCTCTATTTTGTTGGATGGAGCAGCGGTTGGGAACGGTCCATCTTCCTAGCAGGGCAAGGAGTGCATATCTATCTATTCTAGGTGACAACTTCGTCCTACTGGCTAACCCAGAGTTCTTACAAGTTACCTATGTCTGCTAGCCCGTGGTGACGGTTAGGATCAGCAGCATCCAGTGATACACTGGACGCACCTAGGATAGCCAATCACAATGTAATCACCTACATACTCTCATGATTTCTGTCTGACTTGTCGTAGCATGATCTGATCCCTTCGGTGAGAGATGGCTGCCTGATCTCGGAAGATCCAAGGATCAGCAGTTCCTGTGCCACTCAGTGACTCACCGCATCTTGTAGCTAGCTGAAAGGTTGAGCTGTGGATTTGAGGTTTGACCGGTGAGTCAATGTAGGGTTGCAGCCTGAGGCAGCAATGATTAAACGGGTGAAACCGGAAGACCAGGAAAAATACTTGGGCACCTCGACAACTGGCCACCTAGCTAGGGGGTCGATCCTCTTGAAGAGCACAGAAAGGGCATAATGCGTAAATGAAAAAAGAGGCATAAAAGATTGAAACATACAATAGCTGCGATCCACTGGTGTTCACCCATCCAAAACCAGGCGGACAAACTGAGAAATTCTTCCCAGGAGCCACTGCTCTGCGCTCGAGATCCTCCCCCGAGTGAACCTGAGGCACCGGGGCCGCCGAACTCAATCTGCTTTGACATTGCTTGGTCCCCATCAGCTTTGCGATAGAGGACCATGAATTCCGGGGCCTTCCCCTCTGTAATTGATTCGAATGAGGCGCCGTGGGATATCATCCTTAGAGTATCCTGGCTTCGTATCATTCACGACTTCAAGGGCGAAATCCGGTGGACTGGCCACACTTGGAAACATGGAGGAATCAAGGTACGGTAAGGATCAATTGTTCACCTTCCTAAGCTTACCATTCCTATTCAGGATCTTTCTGTGATTCCTAGTGGACAATAACTCCCAACGATCTGATATTCGGAACCAACTCGAGTCCCTAGCAGTTCTCAAACTTTGGTATGCACCTTCCATACCTTCGTGGCAATCTGCTCCAAGTCCGCGGTACTAAATTCGACCTCCCCTTCGTTCGGGCCCGCGGGTCGAAGGAAAAACCCGTCGACTGGCAGTACCAGAGGGGTCCCAGAGATGCGAATCGGGTGCTGGGCTGTGGCCTGTCTCATGATCGCCTTGACTTAAGAGCGTTCGCCGATGACGCGGTCTGCTAGCGAGGAGCGCTCGGGAGTTGCAATAATAGGATATGGAAGAGGGTTCCTTATCGTGGTCGATCGAAAGGGATCTGACCGATGGAGATAGAGCTCAATCGAAAGTTTTTTCGCGTATCATCTGATTCTCGGAGAGTCTGGCGGCGATGGAAGGTTTTCACCTGCATTGAACCCATTGAATGCCATTGCTCCGTGCTCTTCCACAGGACTAGCTCGGGGTTATTGGACGGGATGGGTATAGGGAAATCATAGAGGGATTGATCTTACCCGCCTCGTTTCTGGACCTGGAGCATAAGGGTCCGTTCGTTAACGCCTCAAGGGAGCTTGAACGTGATGCTAGCAGACTTGCCAGCCAAGGTGCGCTCTCGACCGGGAAAGTGATGTGAAAGAGAATGATGAGCTACTTCAGAGGAAGAGAACAAAAAGAGAGTAGGAATTACTGTGAATGATGACCTTCACTACTTCACCAGACTAGCAGATCAGTGAATCTGAAGAGTCATACTCCAGTGATGGTAAATATAGTGATCACCCTGATGTAGCTTTGCTTACCAAACTATACTGTAACACAGTCTGAACTAGGAGGCCATGACATCCTTAAGCCCATCTATGTATAAGTGGCTATGCAGCTTCTCCAACAAAGCAGAAATTTGATGCCAAACTGAAGACAAAAGGTAGATACGAAGGTGACTGCTAATAGTCACGTGCCAGCAGCCGAGGTTGACATAGTGTGGCCTAGCTGCCTGAGGACTAGCAGCATCAGATAAGATTAGATGGCTGCTGTTGTTTCCCTCTTCCCCTCACCTGCGTCTGATCATCTGCTCAAAGCCTTCTGTGTTAGTTGACAGCCAACGGGGCCATTAAAGAGCTGACCTTTTCTCTATACGGAGTACTTTCGTCCATATTTCCACAGACTTACTACCATTCAAAGCATCTCGCCAACCAGCCCGTCTTTCCGGTCGTTTCTCTCGCAAAGATGGGTCGTGCCGCCCTTTTCTCCGCACTTGCTCTTCTTGTCGGCCATGTTCTTCAAGCGACCGCTATCCCACCGGCCCTTCCGCAAGATGATACTCTCAACCAGATGCTTCTCAGCGACCGTTATCTAGACCAATCTGTTTCGTCCAAACCGACGGAAGATGATGTCCAACACAGCGATGTCATCCACGTCGGCAACGACACCCCAGAAAACAGCCCCGAGACAATGCGAGCACCATCCTGGTTCACCTCAACACTCATGGCCCGTCGCCTCCTAGCCCTCTCAACAACCGGCACCGTCTCAACCATCTTCCCCGACCCGCTCCCCGCCAACGCCCGCGCGCCCGCCTCCGTAGCCGGCCTCTCCATCAGCCTCCCGGAGTACATCGCCGACTGCGACGAATACCTGCCCGCAGACGTCAGCAACGGCGGCGACGGCAACCCGACCCTCCTCGCCCTCCGCGTCTCAACAACCTTCCGCAACACCGCCGCCGGCTCAAACATCAGCCTCGCAATCGACTGGTGGGACCACCTGAACCAGACCCAGCCCGTCGCGCCCGGGTTCCCCCCTAGCGAAGCGGGCCTCCCGCGCGTCACGCTGATCGGGTACGTGGAGCCGTTTGATACACCTGTGCACGGGGATACGGAGGCAGCGCTGGAGGAGTGCTATCTGCGCGCGCATCCGGATGCGAGTGCCTGGTTGCCGGGGAAGCCTGGGGCGCCGCATTCGAGCTACTGGGCGAAGATGGTTGTAGAGCAGGTGTATTGGATCGGCGGGTTTGGGGGCTTTCAGCAGATTGGGTGGATGAATGTCACTGAGTGGAAGGGGATCCGGCGTGTAGGGAGTCTGCCTGGTGTTGGGGATGGGAGGGGTTGGGAGGACGTGAGACTTCCCGGGGAGAAGGAGTAATTCTTTTATCTCTAGGTGTCCGAGGGGTGATGAGATGCTTGCTACTGTCTTAGGTGAGCGATCAAGGTATGCCTTTGGGGAAGAGGGTTTAGTAATGTGGCGACGGCTCTCGTCCTGTTCATCTCAGACAATAATGCCAGTCTCGAGGCGGCTAAGAATCGGTGTATGCAGAATGGCAAATTTCTAGAACAAGACGAAGAAGTTTGCACCGTCAACGCACAATACCAGTGTTACGTCAATGGTTGGGCATTGTACTCGAGCGTTCATCGTAATGACCAGATCACTGAATCCGCGTATATATCCTTCGCGTATACGCTGGGAGCATTGGACAATCTGACACTCTGAATACTCAGCTAATGATGAGCTACCGTGTTTTTCGTGGATTAGTCTGGCATGGAGTACGTGATTTAAATAATGGCCTGGTTTCTTTCCCAAAAGTTATTTTCGAAGGACTTGTCTCTTCTTTGGAGAGAGGCAACTAAGTGAAAGTATGCATCATCATTCATCCGTACTTCTAGACGGCCACTTAACCTCCAAATGAACGATAAGACTACAATCATCGGAATCTACCCCAATACAAAGACAGCGCAAAATGAAGGAATCACGGAAAGTTACCATCGCGTCGATCGACCCCAATTTTCTTGCCATAAATACTGCCAGAAGGACCTTGCTCTAGCTACTTATCAACCACGAGGGACGCGGAGTCCTCCGCACGAATCGCCACACTTGGTTCTCTTTTAAGGATCAGACAGGATTCTTATCAGACTTTTAATGGCGTTACAGTCGAGGAGGATTCGCCAATGAGACGATGAACCGATAAGTCGACGGTGCGATCGGCCTGCAGGGATTCAGCTGGCTTATCAGCATGGCGAGCTGGCTTATCTTGAGGTCCTGCGACTTTTGGGGTAAGTCATGGTGTTGATGCTTGGGATGTAATAAAGAGGTAGATTCCTCTGTTCAAAAGCCTGGATTGGCCTTGTTTACTTGATAGACAGTCGACAGAACATACTGAGGGTGTGTCCCTGAAGAGTGACGCGGATTGCTTTCGACGCTGCATGCCCCCTCCCTTGATAAGCCGTCTGCATGCAAACATAATTGCTTTTTCTCTTGTCGAGTTCTTCATTATTGACCTGTGCTCCGCATGATCTCTTGTTGGACGTTCTCTAGTCTTAATACTCCATCGTCCCATAATGAAATTCAGACGACCCCGTCTCCGTGTCGCCCAGCCCAGGTCGGCTTTCGCAGAGGGAAATGCCCGCTGGACCAACCTCGATCTCGACCCCGTTCCCCTTCATCGTCGACAATGGGGCCCATTGAGTTTTGTCGGTGAGATCCAACCGGTTCACTTTGGGTCTTGGATCATTGACTCTGACATTGGCAGCGTACTGGATCTCCGACGCTTTCAACGCCGCAACATGGCAGTTTGCCAGCAGCATCATCGCTGTCGGGCTGAGCTGGCGCGAGTCCCTTGCCATCGTGGCCATCTCCTTCTTCATCATCTCCTTCGTCATCGCCGCCAATGGTGCCGTCGGCGCCATCTACCACATCCCGTTTCCCGTCATCGCCCGCGCGAGCTGGGGCTTCTGGGGCTCCTATGTCGCCATCATCTCCCGCGTGATCCTGGCTATCTTCTGGTTTGCGATACAGAATGTCAATGGGGGAAATGCCGTGAGATGCATGATCGGCGCCATCTGGCCGAGTTTCTTGACGTTGAAGAATGACATCCCCGAGGACCAGGGCATCACGACCGCCGGGATGGTGGGATACCTGATCTTCTTTATTGTGCAATTTCCGTTCCTGTGCATTCACCCGAATAAAGTCCGGTGGCTGTTTGTCGCCAAATCCGTCCTCGTGCCCATTGCGTGGCTGGCGATTCTCATCTGGGCGTTCGTGGCCGAGGGCGGCGGAGCGATGTTTGACCAGAAGCCCACCGTTTCCGGGTCCAAGTATAGCTGGCTGTTCCTGGCGAATATGACTTCTGTACTGGGGAACTATGCCACGCTCAGTGTGAATCAGGTATGTGATGCATCCCAGAGGTAACAACAAGATGCTGATCACCGACAAAGTCCGACTTCTCTCGGTACTCCCGCGTCAGCCCCAAGTGGCAGCTCCTCTACATCCCCATGCTCCCCGTCGTCTTCACCTTCATCTCGTTCATCGGCATCGCCGCCTCCTCCGCCGGCCAGTCGCGCTACGGCGGCGATATCCCCTGGGACCCGATCGTGCTGATCAGCCACTGGTCCAGCCGCGCCTGCCGCTTCTTCGCCGCCTTCTCCTTCGCCCTCGCCTCCCTGGGCGTCAACATCTCCGCCAACTCCATCTCCGCCGCCAACGACCTGACCGCGCTCGCACCGGAGTACATCAACCTGCGCCGCGGGCAGATCATCTGCGCGCTCCTGTCGTGGTGTCTCGTCCCCTGGAAGATCCTCGCGTCCGCGGGGAACTTCCTGAACTTCATGTCCGCGTACGCCATCTTCCTCGGCCCCATCGGCGCAATCATGCTCTGGGACTTTTGGCTCGTCAAGCGGGGGAAGTACGATACGCTGGCGCTGTATCAGCCCTCGAACCCGACGTACCGGTATTCCGCGTGGGGTACGAACTGGCGCGCCATCGTCGCCTTCCTGGTTGGCGTGGCGCCGAATCTACCGGGTTTGATCGCGTCTGTGAACAGTAGCATTGATGTCGGGGTCGGGATCCATCCGTACCAGTTTGGGTGGCTGTTAGGGTTTGTGGGGACGAGTATCGTCTATGTGGGTCTGTCGCTTTGGTTCCCGGCGCGGGAGAGCTTGATTGAGCGGGCTGTGCTGGCGGATGAGATCTATGATACGAGGGGGACGGTTGAGGGGGTTGATGCGGGTTCGGAGGAGGTTTTGGGC